CGTCGGTAACTATTTTTGCTGTTCTGTTTTTAGATCGGTAAGTAATTTTGACGTCGTCGTAATCATAGCAACTGGTAAATTCAACTTACTGTCATGGAAACACACATGGTAAATAGTCAGAAATGACCGATCGCGCAAAAAATAAAATTATTTAATAAGTTTGTACAGCTTGCAAATTCTTATTGGCATAGATTCACCCCGAAACATAAAGAATGGATCTAAAAAGCATTTGATAGACTTAGGGATCGAACAATACAAGCATTTGCCAAGTTACTCTCGCTGATATTAGTTTCACTCGTAGATGCGTTAGAACTTTTAAAAGCAAATTCGGAAGGTCACAATGAAAATGCATGGAAATTCGTAAAATCTAGATTAACAGGAAAAACAAGGTTGGCGGTACCAGCTGAGGTTGCAGATTCAGACGGGGTAATTACAGTTTTGAAAGAACGTTGCCAACGCGAAAAATCTCGTATAGCCGAAGCAAAACTTGCAAATATAAAACAAAACGGGAAAGACTCGACTGCATTCACGAATCAGGTTAACGGTCTCGCGGCAAATTTGCTGTCCTGTATATTTCCGAAGGGGTACGTGCAGATACGGTTAAAACGGATATAACACGCCCTACAGCGTCAAGGTAAACGTATGTATCACCTGTAAAAGAGACAAGCATGGCTATTTGGGACACATTACAGACTACGCACAAAGTGGAAGTTCCCAAACTGTGTTGGTTGTATAGACGGAAAACATGTGCGCATGCGTAACCCACGTCATTCTGGAATCATGTTCAGGAACTACAAACAATCCTTCTTGTATTACAAGGCGTTGTGGGACCCATTTACAAGTTTATTGCTATTGATGCTGGGGATACAAGGAGAGTGATGATTAAAAAAAATTAGAACATACGTCAACAACCTATACAGCCGAATGGCGTTTACACAGACGCGGCTACGAGCGCAAATCCCATTCTGTTCGAAACTGTAGCGCACTGTAGCCCACAGTGGTATTCTTGATTTATCACAAGCGATAATTATCGAACGGTGGTGAGCATATCAAGGAGTCTATCGCGCGTAATTTGTTCAGTTAACGTCCAATGAAAAAGGTAGAAACACATTAGCCTGATGCAACGCCACGCGACGTGGCGTGAAGCATCAGATTGTACAATGTGCATATTTTTCTGATGCCACGCCACGCTACCTTACCCGAAGCAGTTAAAAGTTCAGTAACACGATAGACACCGAGCGCAATGGATGTACATTCCAATGATTTGTCATCAGACGAATTTGAAGAAGAAATGGAGGAGACTGCATCGGCAGTGGTGGTTGCCAAAGAGAGGAGAAAGTATAAGAAATTCTGGGTCCACCAGATTAATCGTGTGCGAGACGAGTTCGGGGAATACCACACCTTGATCAATCTTTTGGAAACAGAAGATTGTTCCAGCAGATTCCAGATGTATTTTCGGATGATAAAACTGATTTCGGATACGTTCATAGATTGTTAGAACCACGAATAGTGAAAATGCATACTAATTTTCGAAAACCTATAAGTTCTAAAGAGCGTCTAACAGTGTGTTTACGGTAAGTGTCATTTTTCTATTTACTTGCAAGTAAATCGCTATGTTATGCTCTATATTTATTATGAACTTAAATGCCATACAAACCGATAAACATAACAGTTTTAAATTAGAAGTTATTCAAGAGGTAGGAAAAAGTACAAGACGTAGGTAATTATAATGAAGTAAAATTTGGATTTGACGGAGAACATGATAAATATTGTTCCTGAGGGTAGGAAATTGGGTATATGGTACTGTGCTTGTCGATAGGATGTGTCCGTAGTTCGAAGACGATAATGGCGTCGTTCTGTCAAGGGAAGGCGCCGAGCATGACGTGGCACTAGAGCCAGACGAAAATTCCCCTGGGTTTTGGATTCTGTTTTGGGTAACACTATGTATTTCTCGTATCTCTGCTTCAGATACTAATTTGCAAAGGTTCATCCGTATTGTAGTTTGTGCCAGTGGATTTAACTTTTTTACAGTTTTTGCCATGCTGAGGTAAAACAAGTCTACACTTCATCCATATCTCCAGTTTTTGTAGATCTTTCTTCACGTTTTTGTTTCCGACGCTCAGCATTCATCTTCATTATACGTACCATCTCATGGACAGGAGATGAATCTACGTTTTTTCTACATGACATTCCAGGCATGGTTCCAAAAAACTCATTTCTTGCTCGTATTTTCCCTTAGATATTTTGGTAGCTCCTCGACCACTTTCCCCAATTGCATTGGGGCCCTTGATGGGAAACACATAAACGTTGTCCCATCAACGGAGGTTCGTTATTTTATAATTACAAAAGCAGCCATTCGATTGTATTGCTAGCACTTGTGGACGCCAACTATAAATTGATATGTATTGAAATTGGATCATATTAGACCGGGAGGCAGCGTACATAGTAATAATGTGAATAAGTGACTTCTTTGGGTGATCAACGAAATTACTAAACTATAAGGACCACGGAAAAGATTTGTACCAAGAAATCGCATTTTTTCGATAGTTTTCAAATATGCTATGGCAGACGATTTCAAGTGTAGCGTTGGTGACGACAGGGAGATAAGCGCGCGAGAGCAAAAAGGACAGAGATAGCGATAGGATACTGACTACTGAGATCCTTCAAACCATTTGATTCTAAACTTCTCATTCACATAATTCCACTCACTTCAATCAGACGGATTGTAGAAGGTTAGACATTTTTCAGTGGCATTCACCAACATTGCGATGAATTAAACCATGAGGACCATACACAAGTCATATAGTGCGTTTTCCACCCTTTTTAACGAGTCTAAAAACAAGGAGATTGGTTGAGAACTTACCGAGATTATATTAAATTTATTATAATAAATAGGAAATAATCGTAGTCCGTCTGGGATATAATAATTGAGGAGCTTGCTGCAAAACCGGCTATATCCAAATTTAGAAAAAAAAATTGTTTCTTCTATTTTAAACTTTATATTGCAGACTATCGATTGGTGCAGTTATTTCGAAGCAAAAGCGGTTATTTCATCAGTATATTGCCGTTTAAAAACTAGCTTTTGAAGCAAACTCGGCCAAATCCAATCCGCTGTTTTGCATCAAACTCGGTTATATCCAAAAATGGGTGGGACTCGGGAGTGGGATTGGAACACGTGGTCGTTTTTCACGAAATGAATCACTATGTGCGTTTAATTCGTTTTTAGCCGCCGACAGATGCTGTGGAAGAGGAGAAAATTTTACGGAAAAACCCAGTTGTAACTTCCAAAGAAAAATACGACAAATATGTTGTTAAACCATTGGAACATAACGATAGGAAACTTTATGATATAGGTAAAGGCTCTAGAAGAACATTATAAAAAGGTCAAGGGTATCGCAAAGACGAAAAGAATCAAAATTAAGAAAAATTACACTGAAACCAAAAAGAACATAACAATTAGGACTCATAACTACTATAAAATATGGAAGCAAGTCAGACTTTAATGAAAAAACGAAACACACAGGGGCTACTGGCCTGTCGAGTTTAAAAACCAGAAAAGAAAAGGAAAAGCCTCATGCATCTTAAGCCTGCTACACACATGCAAGCAAGTCGTACAACTTGGCTTGAACAGACCAAATCGTACAACTTGCAAGTGTGTGTGTAGAGCAAGTCGGAGCTTGAGTTGGGCTAGAAGTTGGGCATGCGTGAAATCGGACAAAACCGATTGCGTACAGTTAAATCGTACTGCAAGTCGAGACGTGTGTATGCGAACACGGCAGAATCGGCGAACTTGAGTAAAACAGAGCGTTCACTGCAACAACATGGCCGATCTAAGAAGTCTATCCCGAGATTTCCTAACGGAATTTATCGAGATGTACCGGGAAAACCCGTGCCTGTGGCAAATAAAAAGTAAGGACTACAGTAATAAACAGAAGAAGAATGCTGCGTATGCAAAATTAGTAAAAAAAACTTGAAGAAGTGGAAAAAAATGCAACCAAAGAAAGCGCCGTGAAGAAAATTAATTCGTTGAGGACGTGTTTTCGGAAGGAGTATCGCAAGGTTTTGGCATCTGAGAGATCTGGGGTCGGCACAGATGAATTATATATACCAACTTTGTGGTATTATGAATTACTTACGTTTTTGTTGGAACAGGAAGAACCTAAACCTTCAAGAAGTACAATTTCTGATGATGAGGGTGATGATGTGCAGGAGGTAAGTAAATAAACATTTATATTATTTCGAAATCTGTTTTATTCGCGTTGTACTATCATACGGTCTTGCCATTCTACAGCACCAACACCATTGAAATACTCTAAATACTGCTGTCTCGTTTGTTTTGCATTTGCGGAAATATTGGTTGGTGTTCTTTGTAATTCATCGAAAACCCCATGAGATGCCAATCCCGGTGTAACGGTCGCATTGCCAATGTCTTCTTGGTCGGTACTTTCTGGTGGAATATAATGATTTGAACTCTTGATGCATAAAAAATTGTGGAGAATGCAACAGCACAAAGTAACAATCTCTGTTGTTTCTAATTTTAAGTTAATGTCAGTATGGAAAATTCTAAACCGGGCTACCAATATTCCGAAAACGTTTTCTATAATTCTTCTGGCCCTACTTAACCTGTAGTTAAAAATTCTACGCTCGTAATTCAACTGTTTTTGACTGAAAGGATTTAGCATATCCGGGCGAAGAGTAAACGCTTCATCAGCAACAAACACGTACGGCAAAGCACCGTTACCAACTTTCGGAATTTTTAATTTATTTGCCACAAGTAGTTCATAAAATGTAGTGTTTCGTATCACTCCACCATCCGAAACTCTTCCATTAGTGCCGATGTCACACATAATGAACTCATAGTTGGCGTTGCTAATTGCCATCAGTACAATACTGTTCCGTTTCTTATAATTAAAATAGTAGGAGCCACTTCCTTTTGGTGCAACGATATGGATATGTTTCCCATCTACTGCGCCGATGCAAGTGGGAAACTGCCATTCGGAATTAAATTCTTTTGCTATTTTTTTCCAATCGTTTTCTGTCTTAGGTAGCTGAAATTAAGTAAAAAATTAATGAATGTATACTTTTTAAGGAACAAAACACACAATCACTTGGTCCGGAAGCGGAAACGCAACAGTCGAATGAAGAGACAAATGAAACGCAACGTTCCGATTATGAAAGTGACCCACTATCCCCTACTGTGGATAGATCAAGAACTCCATCATCTACGACAGTAGTGGCTCACCGTTCTAGATCAGGATCTAGGGCACCATCTTCTAATGGAGGAAAAAGAATGAAGAAGGCAGACGCCGTGCTGGATATTGTAGCTCAAAAGTTGCAAGCACCAAATCCAATTAGGGAATTTGATAACTTTGCACACCATGTTGCTGAGCAACTCAGGGAGGTGCCGAAACAACAAGCAATTTATCTTACAAAAATTATTAACGATGGTATCTTTGAAGCCCAGTGTGGAACCCTAACGCGAAACTCTCGCATTGTGTCTCAACCTGCTGAGTTACCTGCACCTGAAGGGTATTATGTTGCTCCTTTAGCCCCAGCCCAAAATACGCACCATACACAAAATAGAGTTAGTCAAGCGAGCATATATCCGGATCACTGCCAACACCAGGCGCCAATCTCGGAGGCACTGGCAAACTATTTTAGCAATGTCGCACCATAACAATGTGTGTTTGATTCCTATGTAATAATTATAAAATATTTCTTACGTGGTTTCTTACCTTCATGTATTTATCTTTTAGAACGGTTATTATTGCTTTGCATGTTTCGGGGATTATCTGCGACAATGCTTGGGGTGATATAATTACGGAAAACTTCAAGTCTTCGAAAGTTCGACCTGTTGCTAGAAATCGCAGCGTTGCAGTTAATCTTTCGTGAGGAGTAATTGCAGCTCTCATTACAGTGTCTTTCTTTCTAATTAATGGAGCAACACTACACAGTAATTCCTCATAAGTACTACCGGTATCCATTCTAAGGTAGTTTAACCAATCGCGAGGTTCTAGTCTCAATTCATCTAATAAGTTGGTATGAGAATATTTGCCTCTTTTTGTTAACCAATGCTTAGTCCAGCGTGAGCGTTTTTTTGATTTTGATTTCACGTACAGTGCAACTGCTGTGGCAATAAGTATATCATCCGAAGCCATTGTTCAAACTAACTAGATAGACACCTACCTACTAAAGTTGTTCCATAAGTCGCGAATTAAGTCTGTGCGCGTGGAAGCTCAAAACCACAACCGACTTTTCAGTCAACTTAGCTTGACAAGCCAAATTGTACGACTTGCTTGCATGTGTGTAGCAGGCTTTATAAGCGAACAATTTGGACCAGAGTGGACTTCAGTCAGCGCCGGATTAAGCTAAAATGCGCCCAGGGGCATTTTCATAGACGCGCCCCACACGCACACCCATTCCCAACTCACCTAACCACGCATAGTACCTTTACAAAAAAATTAATACAGCGAAAATATTTAAATTTATATTTCTTTGCACGTTTATTGTGATAGGGGAGTAATAAACAAGTTATCAATTACACAATCACAAGATCGTAAATTTTTATTGAAAACATCACAAATCAGCCAAAATCATACATTAAACTACTTTTCTCTTTTTGTTTGACAAAAATCTTTCTATTATCACATCAGTATCTAAACTAGTCATTATTTCACTTTCTATAGATAGTGAGGTTTAAGAGAACTTAAGCTTGATAATGACCTTCGGGTCGAAACTATAGTCGCTGTCACCTAATGCCTTTATTTTAATACCTGAAATAATTAAAAGAAGTATGGGGAAGGTTTAGTGTCTTTATCAATCCACTTAGTCAATATCACCCCGTTTTGAGTCGTTATAAGATGGATAGCTACCAACCATTTTAAGCGTCGGGTTTGGTTGGGAGGGGGGAATACAGTTGGAAAATTGGTAATTTTGATTAGTTGTTCTTAAATATTTATCAAACTATGTGGTTTAGTGCGAAAAGTACCGTATACAAAAATAGTCTACAGTAAATTGCGAACAAAAATGGCCTCGTATACAGTGTGTCCCAGATCGCGTGAGATTGCATGGGTAACTTTGTTATTATTAAAGATAGAGAATTGGTTAAATGGGCAATGTTTTGCAGTTTTGGATGCTTATTTAAAATTCCCTTATGGAAATTCAAAATGTCGCATAGGTTGGACGTAAATTCAAAAAAACTAAAATTGGTCATTTCCTTCAATGTCTTATATCATCGAAAGTATAAGAGATATAAAAAAAAGTTTTATATAAAAGTGACTGTCTTTGATACGCTTAATTTAGAATTGATGTCAAAAAAAATTCAAGATGGCCACTTTTGAGGGACATTTACCAACTTCCTAAAGTTAAATGGGCGCCATATTGGATTTTTAGATTACTTGATAGATTTTTTAATTCTCTTTTCAAGGAGCCATCATAACATAAGATACCAGTTATATCAACGGTTTTTATATTTTAATCAAGTAGGCTGTGATGAATTAAAAAAAACAAAACAAAATCTATTCGAACCAACAAAACAATGAAAATAATTACATGATGTTTAAAAAATCAGGGGCGCACTCATGAGAGGGGGGTTTGGGCATTACAACTCCCTCCAAAATTTTATATAAGTAGGCCTAGAAAAATTTTGATTTTTATAACATCACTTATTGACCATCTTACTATCCATACTTACATATCTACAAATGGTGGTATAACCACAAACTATCCCCTCGAAAAAATGTCATGCCATTATCCAGTTAAACACATTTCAAGACACTTTGCTTTATTTATACACAATGTATTACCATTGATGCATTGTCTCAGGTCACATTTTGTAGGTCAGTAGGTGGTTTATCCGCAAGAATATCGAAACTAACAGTTTTACCAGTCCGAGTATATGGACAGATGAATCTTATTTTTCTAACTGCGGAGTGTTCAAATCGACATAATGAACACTATACTGGTCACAGGAAAACCTACATGTAGTTTCACGTCGAAATCAAGTAATATTTTTTTAATTAATGTATTTTGTGGCATAATGGGAAGTCATGTAATTGGACCGGTAATCTTCGTTGGATCTTTAACTGCTCACCATGATTACAAATTCTCCAATAAACTTCCGTAAAGGATTTTTCTCGACAACGTATGTTTCTTAGAAAGGGTTGGTTTATGTTATGCTATACCTACCAACAAGCTGGTTGCTCAGGTCACAATAGACGAATTATATTATGTACAGTAGGTACATTAAATTATAAGAGTAAGTACATAATTAAACAATAAAAGTAAAGTGGAAGTAGCTACCACTACAAACTGTCTTGAAGTGTGTTTCACTAATAATGGCCAGTATTTTAAACATCTGGTGTAATTATTTTCATTGTTTTGTTGCCTCGGAATAGATTTTGTTTTGTTTTTTTTATTCGTCACAGACTACTTGATTAAAATACAAAAACCGTTAATATAACTGGTATCTTATTTTCAATCTTATGTTATAATAGCTCGTTGAAAGAGAATTTAAAAATCTATCAAGTAATCTAAAAATCCAATATGGCGCCCATTTAACTTTAGGAAGTTGGTAAATGTTCCTCAAAAGTGGCCATCTTAAATTTTTTTTGACATCAATTCTAAATTAAGCGTATCAAAGACAGTCACTTTTATATAAAACTTTTTTTTATATCTCTTATACTTTCGATGATATAAGACATTCAAGGAAATGACCTATGCGACATTTTGAATTTCCATAAGGAAATTTTAAATAAGCATCCAAAACTGCAAACATTGCCCATTTAACCAATTCTCTATCTTTAATAATAACAAAGTTACCCATGTAATCCCACGCGATCTGGGACACACTGTATAATCTCGCTAAATTGAACCGTTCCAGAGTTACGGAGGGTGCAAAAGTAGACATTTTTCGTATATTTTCGATTTTCTGGAACCTTCTTGCACCCCAAATGTAAGTAATATGCCTATTATTAATATTACCAGCATATCAACCGAAGAAATTATGTCTTCTATGTCTAAATTGAAATCTAAAATGACTACAGGTCCCGATCAAATCCCCAGTTGCCTTGTCAAGGAATTTGCAGATGCCTTCATATATCCGTTACTCATACTATTTAACCTTTCTCTTAAAACTTCGACGTTCCCTAACTGTTGGAAGGAAGCTCGCATCTGCCCGGTGTTTAAAAATGATGACCCAACTATAATATGCAATTGCAGACCAATTAGTATACTTTCTAACTTTGCCAAAATACTAGAAAAGATATTATATTCGCGAATCTATCCCCAAATTCGAAATTATATCTCTCCAGATCAGCATGGCTTTATGGAAATCGTTCAACTATCTCAAATCTGTCTTGCTTTACACAGTTTGCTTCGGAAGTATTGGATAATCAGGGTCAAGTGGATGTAATATATACTGACTCCAAAGCATTTGACAAAGTAGATCACGGCTCGGTGCTGAGCAAATTGGACAAAATTGGGTTCTCTACTTCGCTTCTCCGACTGTTCGAATCATACCTTAGTGGTAGACTACAACGTGTGCAATACAAGAATTACATATCTGACTCTGCTGTGGTTACGTCAGGATTTCCGCAAGGATCTAACCTCGGTCCCCTACTGTTCTTAATCTTCATAAATGATTTGCCTTCTTTACTTTCCTGTAACACCTTATTATTCGCTGACGATTTAAAGATTTTTACATCCATTTATAGTAATGATGATTGCGTTTACCTCCAAACAAAAATAAATAAACTTGGTGAATGGTGTTCAAAAAACAACCTTCACTTAAACATGTCTAAATGCAAAGTAGTTTCGTTTTCAAGAAAATCTCAACCTCTTGTACATCCTTATCAATTTAATGATATTCAGTTTAAACGATGTACATCGGTCACGGATTTGGGTATTATATTTGATCTTAAACTTTCCTTTTCGGAACATATATCGGTGACTATTGCTTCTGCTTTAAAAATGCTTGGCTTTATTATCAGAAGTTGTCGTGATTTTTCCAATATTTTTGCTATCAAATCTCTATATGCTGCTTATGTGCGATCCAAACTAGAGTATGGTTCTCTTATTTGGTATCCTTACTATGACTGCCATAAAAACAACCCTGGAAGCAGTGCAGCGTAAGTTTCTGAAGTTTTTATCGTTTAAATTGGACAGAGTTTATCCCGCAATTGGTACTGATCATCAACTACTGTTATCTCGATTTCAGGTACATTCCTTAGAAGTTCGCAGAACTCTGTCAAGCCTTAACTTTCTCTTCAATTTGTTACACAATAACCTAGATTGTCCATTTCTTCTTTCCCTCATTCGGTTCCATGTGCCACGTTCTTCGGCTCGTAATGTACTTATATACTTTCAATTGTGCTAAGGCCAATACAAACTTACTTTGTAAATCACCAATATTTGTTATGGTAAGCAACTTTAACAAAATTGCTAATATGTGTGACATTAATACTTACTCAGTATCTGATCTTAAAAGATTGATGGAATATTTTTAATCTTGTTTATGTTTAATACCATTTAATTTGGTTTTTATTAGGTTAGCGGTTAAGATATTAGTATATTTAGTTATTGTGCTTTCAATAGCTCTCAATTCCCAAGCGTTTACCCAAATTCTCCCAGTGAGTTAGCAACTTTATTATTTTTCGTCTATCTACATTTTCCATTGTCTTTCCGAAGACACCATTGTTCATTAGCTTGAAATAGTTATTTGTATACTTAGGCCGCGAAGTCATTCTTTAACGTACCGAAAAGAAGATTGGCGCCGAGGCCGCTTGCGGCCGAGGCAAGGCAACTTTGAGGACGTTAAAGAATGACGCGGCCGTGGTATACACAACATTTTTTGTGCAATTGTGTAGAATCGTCAATACATAAAAATGAGATTTCAAAAATAATAATTTTCGTCGCAAATAGAAAGACGGCCAGTTTTCATTTTACCATGGAAATGAGATAAACAAT